TAATGTAAGTTAAGCTGAAGTTCAGAAATGCATATATTTTACTTAAAAACATTCATCTGTTCAAAATTCAAAATAAACTTTATGGGATACAACAGTTTGGTTTTTTTTAAATAACATTTCATTCAAACTGTATATAATTCATTGAAGTATTCGTACAGCAAACAATGGTTAACCTTTGAAAACCTGTAGAAAAAGATTTTCACACAAAAAAAGGAAAAACAAAATTGAGGTATCACACCCACACACATTCACCCAAGCACACGCACACACTCGAGCACACCCACACACATCCACACACGCAGGCTGCAGCACAAGCAGAAAATTGTAGGCCCAAAAGGAAAATGATGACCGATTGTTCTATCCAAAAGTCCAGGTAGCTCAGGAAAAAAAAAATCAAACAACAACAAAAAACCAAAACAACCCCCCAAGAGTCCTCTGAGTGAAGAAACTACCTCAAGAAAATTCTCAAGTGCACTGGAGACCTGATCATTTAAACTGTTTCTGCAAAGCAGCTCCCTGCACCTGAGAAAAATGCAGCCCAAGGTGACTTGTGCAAATATAAGGAGTCAGGAATATCTCCTGCTATTCCTTAAGTAGACATGAGGGGTGTCCATAGATTCAATTAGTCTTTGATCATGCAAGATACTGCTGGAGTGCTGTCTTCGCCCTGCAATAAAGGAACAAACTGTTAATTACTGGGGTTTGGCTTTATCATCAACAGCTTTATGTACAAGACGATACATTGTGCCAGCAAGAGAGGTTGGATGAACAAGTGAGGTAAAAGGAAGCCAAGTGGCTGGCTCCTTCAGTTTGGAAGAATCTAGCCCGTGGTGCAGAAGTGCTCTGTGTAGGCTGTAACAATTTAAGAATCCACCTTGCATCTAAGAATAAGATATTCTAACCAAATACATTAGATGCTCAGCATAAACTGAGCAACTGGTGGGGCTTAAGATGTATATTGAACCTCATTATCAACACATCTTATAAAAAACCTTAAGAGCAGTAACTGTGAAGAACAATTACTTTTCTGTAATACAGATGTACCATGAGAAGCAGATCTTTGAGCTGAGAAATGAAAGGGGCGTCATAACTCAGAACACACTACAAGAACATTAGTCTTGTCAGGACTACTGGCCCTACCAAAAACATACAATGAGGTGAGAGGGAGAAAAGAAGCAACAGCTAGAGTAATACTGGAATTTATGTAATCTAACACTGTGAAACATTTTTGTTAAGGAAAAAAACACCTCCCAAAAGTCTAGGGTTACAGTTTCATTATCACCAGCACCTGAAGTGACAAGCTTTGCTCTTCCTTTGTCCCTCACACCTCCCAGTCATGCCATCATGACCTTGACAGACCTTTCCAACATCCAATACAACTCAGCAACCCAGAAGACTTTTTTTTTTTTCTTACAAGTTTCCTGCAACATTCACAAATCATACCAGCTCATCAAGGGGGCTGATGAGGCAGGGTTGGGATAGGGTAAACAGTGGGAGTAGGTGGCCAGAAGAAACAGGAGGGACAGTGACTTACAGTGCTAAGCACAATTAGCTCCCTGTCTCTTAAAACCAAGGCTTAAAGTGTTGACAAGCAAGGTCTATTTACCAGAAAGTATTTTTACTGGTGTAAGTTTTATTCCTATTTCTCACTGTTTGAAAACCCTATTTAGCTTTTCCATAATTTTCTGTCAGCCTGTTTATTGATATCTATACATTCCTGATTATCACCTTCAAAACTGATACTTTGGTATAGAGTTTAAACAAAGAAGCCCTAACTTGACTACAAAGGGGTCTAAGAACACCAGAATATCTTTCTTAAAACAAAAAAATCCAAATTTAATGCATTTTGAAACATTGCACAGGTTTGAGTTGTGTTGTTTGTATATGAACTCTTCCAAAAATCAGATAATCTCCTTTAGCTCATGAAAGAAATATGGGTTGTTACTAACTGTAGGTGGGATAATTGCAAAAAATTTACATAAACAACCCAAAACCTGTCATTAGCTATCCTGGTTATTTCTGTTTGTGAAGAAGCAAGATGATCTGTGTAGATACTATAACATGAGTAAGAGAACAGGTAGGTGAAAAGTTACTGTTGAGCTTAGTCAGTTTAAAAGAATTTAACTGAGATAAACAACAGCAGTGATTCTGTATTATCTTTTTAATTCACAGTGTTATGTGACAGTTTACCATTGTTCCAATCCTCTGTAACTTTGTTGGTAGTCCAAGATTTGAACAAATATTTGTGCATCAGTGAGATTTCCGAGAGGACCCTCCACCAGCTTAGAAGATCTTAAGTGTAGTTATTTTATACTATTGAGAACTTTAGTAAAATGTGTTACTCCTGAACAATACAAAACCTGCTCTTTAAATACGTGTTCATCACAATTTCTTTATACACCGTAAAACTCAGTGCAACAATAGGCAGTTTTTCTAGGGGATTTTTCTATAATGAAAATATTTTTAAAAATATACTTTTTAATAAAAAGCAAAGATTTCCCTCAATCTTCTTTTTGGATTTTTCTTTATACTCACTTGTCACACAGATTTGGATCCGATGACTGACTCAATTTATGTAGAATATCTACTATTCCCATGTCTCGTAATTTATCTTGGCGTTCTTGTGAACCTACAACAACAAATCACATTGTGGGGAATATCACCAAAAAGAAGTGTCTGCAGAACAGAAGAAAGGAGAGGTAGCAGAAACCAGCTTAAAGGAGGAGTATGGAAGGCAGGTCAGTTAGAACACAGCAATGGAAAAACTCCCTCAGTTGGGGCTACCTCCCAAGAGAGCTCTGGTTTCTTTATTTGTGCATATGCTTAAAGAAAATTTTGAAGACAAAAATCAGAACACATTTTATCTTAAAGTAAGAAGCTTGACCTCAGTTGGTTTATTCTCATCTCTGTGATGTGGATGCAGAAAACATTTAACTGGAGGTGTGTTTTTGAGTCAGACTTGTAGCACTATATAAAGCCAATATAATGAGCAGAAAGCGAGCAGGAGCATAGCCACGTGTCACACACTGAATTAAGTTCTGTGATCTGAGAGATGTGGAATAAGTTACACAGTAGAGAAAAAAGATCCAGAACCAAGCAGAGACACTGATTTCTTTGCTGAAGAGCAGCATGGTCAACTTGAGAGTCTGTAAATCATCCATCTAAGAAAGTCCTCCTCCTAGCTCCACCATTCCTCAAAGCACACCACCACCAACCACTCCTTCCCCTACCATTTCTTCCAGCTCCATACTGCTGCCTCCACCTGCCCTCTCCACCCCTCAACACAAACACATGTATTTTTCTGTGCAGCAGCGTCCTTCAGCTCCCTCCTGGTTACCTTCCGTTGTTCCAGACCATACCTGTTCTTATCAAATGCCTTCCCCATTCCTTCCAGTTCCACCCACAAGTCCTTTGACCGGTTTCAGAGTCTCCCCATCAAACCCATTCAAGCCATCCATGCTGGGGAAAATTTCTTCGCCACAAATCCCCTTTCTAATCCATTTACCCTCTCCAGTGAGCCTGTTCTCTCCAACAATGAGTTTCCACAACCTCCTCAAAACTCAGAAGCTCTCTTACTAGGATTCTCTTTCACTCCAATTGTTTTCAGATTTTACAGAGATGCTACAGGTGTAAACCTCCCACCTGTGAGTCTCATCAACTCCTACTTATTGACACTCTTTTCTTGTGTCTCCCCTCCCTGCACCAGAAGAGCTCTCTACACTTTCCTCAATGTCCTCCTGACTACTCCCACATATTCCATATTATACCTATAATGATGTCTCCCTCCATGCTTTGGATCCCACTGTGCTGTGCACTGCAAATATTGATTAGTATGCAACATTAGCCTTTTGATCAGGATAGTAACTTGTACATGCATTAATAATAAGGCTTTCTTACCTTCTTCTTCATTCCATATGAGATTAGATATACAAAACATGGCAGCAAGCTGGAGTTTAGCATTTGAATGACTCTAAATATAAAAAAAACGATACTCAAGTTTAGAATAAATTCAGAATTTCTCAGACTTACATTTTGGCATTCATCCTGCAAAAAATAAGGTATCAGAGTTGGGACTAATTCTTATCTACAACTTTTCGCAAAGATAGTGCCATAACATAAAGTACTTGAGTAGCATTCAATTACTTCCTACCAAATAGTTATTGAGGCCTACAAGATATGCCTTTTCCAAGATGATGAAATGTTTTCCATGTAGATTTGTTACAGGTATTGCTTAAGTCACTGTAACATTCTTATAGGAAATAACCACTTGATTTTCCTTTTAATCAGATCCTCAGTACACCTCTGCCATATAGAACCGCACCACATGATTTCTCAAAGACAACTGAGTTTATGAAAGTTAAGTGCATAATACTGAATAATTTAGACAACAAAAAGCTAAAGTATCCCCTTTTCGTTCCTGCAAAAGGCCAACAGAAAACCTTTAAGAGAAATTCCCCATACCATGTAGTATTTGATTTTCTGTAGGATGTCATCATTGGTCATAATTAGTTCTTTTGCTGTTGTTCCATCTGCTATATTAGCAAGTATACATAATGTCTGAAAGAGAGAAAAACTGTTATTTGGCCACAAAATATGATTTATGCAGCTTCCCTGACAGCTTTGAACTTCTCAAAAACAATTTCTTTAATTAGTTTTAACATCTTTAATCTGGAGTTTCCAACTTGTTTACATCTGGGGCCAATGCCAAAGAGTAAACAGCTGTGGATGGACAGCCCTGGCAAAAAAAAAAAAGTCATTGCCATTTTAAAATAAAAAGCAACATTCATTAATTCATTTCAGTGAGTAAAATTTTAAGTGTCTTGTGGAAATATGCAGCATATAGAAAAGATTAAATACACTGGAGAATAAAGGAGTCTATTCTGTATCAGTGGCTAAGGGAAAAAAAAACCCCAAATATATCCATCTAGTTCTTCAGGCCAGGAAAAGGAAAGAGAGAGGCCTATCTGCTGATCTAGCAGAGTAAGAATTTGTTTTCAGCAAGTCTAATCACACATCTTACTTGCAGAGAGAACTCAAACTACTAATGCACCTGGTTATTTACTGCAAATCAGAGAAGCCATCCTACAGAATAATTTCATTCTTGTGCTCTCATATACAGTGCCCTTCTCTTTACCACACCCACACGTAAAAAACCCCTCTGAATTCAATTCAAACACATTTGTAAAAATCCACTAGAAAGAAAAGCATTCTTGTAGGTACTAAAGTTATAGATCTGACAGATCTCAGTAAAATATTCACAGCACATCATAATACCAAAAAAATTACATGTTGAGAAGAGTAAGTATTCTTAGATATTCTTAAATTTTATTCTGCCAAGACAACATAAACCAAAAGAGGTTACCTGCTCTTTGACTTCTATATTGTGCTCTCCTTCCAGAATGAGGGTCACTGCTTGCATGATCTGCTTCCCATGAGTGCTCATTATATGGTCTATGTGCTGCCAAAGCAATGATGAAACACAATCAGTGTAACTTTCCAGACAAAGAAGGGGCTTCCTACTTGAATTACTCTAAGTAAAGAGTAGCAACATTGCACAAAGAGCCTAGCTCCTAGCGAGGTCTCCCAAAACCAAGAACTTATCACAGCAGAAACACTTCATAATATTCCTCTTCATCTGAAGCCTGGTCTTGTTTGAGAGAGCATGATATAGGCCTCGGTTCTGACTTCACTGTAACCTGTAGAAAAGACACTGGTTTCCCAGTTGCATGGAGGCCAGTCTGAAGACTGAATCCTGCTGGACCCAAGCTCTAAGTATTGATGCTGCAGTCAGAAAAAAACACACTTCTGCTAGCTAACAGAGGGATATCCAAGAGGGGTAAGAAAACTGAGGTTTCTTATCTGGTATTTGCTACTCTTAACTGGAACACTGTGATCGGGTCTGATATCCACATTTCAAAAGTCTGAGACGGTTCAGAGAAATAAGAAATACATTACTTATAATCTAGGAAAATTATCCCAAGTTAAAAGACTTACAGGTAAAGGTCATTTGATCACAGGCTATAAACACCTATACTAGAATAAAATTGATCATCAGGAGCCACAGGAAAAGATGAAACTAGATCTACTGGATTAACTGATACCAAAACTCAAGAGTGACAGAGAACAGCCACCAGAGATTACCAGCACATGGCACACTACAATTTTTTAAAACATTAGGGATTCCTGTAGGACTTCTTAAAATTGCTAATAACGAGACTTCATTCAAAAGCTGTTGGATGAGTTATTCTGGAGTGAGTTTTGGGTAGAGAATGAGAATGGCTGGTTCTGGCTCTAAAACATACTACAGAAAGTAGGTGAAGCCAGGACATAGGTTCAGATGAAGAACATCTTAAGTGATAATAAGACTCTGCTGTCAAGAGCTCAGGGTGAATTTAATGAATGACTGGTTATTAAATATCTTTTCACATTAAGACAGAGCTAATTTTCTATGAAGCTTATTGAGACTCGATGAGTACAAATATCAGAAGACTTTTTGCAGTGACCTTTTCATAGTAGAAACACAATACGTGATAAATGCACAGTAGAGGCTTCGTGGTTTTTTTCCCCCACAAAAATGTTGGCTTGCCAAATGTTTGCTGCATGTTTTCCCTCTGTTCTTCACAGGGGATTACCCCTTTCTTTTCCTCCACCAATATCTCTTTCTCCCTGTCAAAAACAATTCATGGGCTTACATTTTCAAACCATTTTATTTCAGTGTGCAAAATGAACGTATGCATTTTGTAAGTGCACAGTCCCACAGTCAAATTCAAAAAGCCAGTACTATATATATAGTTGGTTAAGAACAGAAATATTTCAGGTGTCAAGAAAGAAGAAACACATGTATCCTTAAGATATGTACCTCTCCACACATTGACTCAACAGTGCAACCCTCTTGTTGTTCTGGACAAGTTTCTGAGAAAAACTGTTAGGAAAGTAAGTTTGCTGAAAGCTAAATGCAATGGAATGGAACATTAAATGTAACTATCAAGCTCGTATTTGACAATAATTACAAAGTTTCAGTGGATGTAGAGAATTCTTTCAAACACTTTCTTACACTGATTTGGACATTCAGTTACAGATACTTGGATAAATCCAACGGCCTCAGTTTTAGCAGTACATTGAACGTTAATCTTAAACAGAAAAATAATTTGTCTTACAAAAAAGATTAAGAATTACTTTGTATTGTCTGCATGTTTTAACAGCTTTCAGAAGAAGGTCTGTTTGCAGCTCTACTTACTGGGCGAGTTGATAGAAGATTCCTTAGCAGTCCCAAAGTTTTCATCAGAACATTTACATCGGAATCAGAAAGCAACTGGAATAACTGTTCTGTACTCAGACCTCGTAGGATATCTGATTTGATTTTCTGTTCTGCTTGAAATGCCATATTCTGAAAGAAACAGAAATTTTGTTTGATTTTTTTGCCTTAAACTTGAGCTTTCACTCTTTTAGTAGACTATTACCTGCAAGCATATATCTTGCTAAAATTAATCTTGCAAAGGTTATAATTTATGAGGAACTGCTACACAGCCAATTAAATTTCCACACAGTCTAACAGCTGGCCTGGTTATTACCTGCTTTTATTTGTCCCCTGGCATACTACTGACACTACTTAACTGTTTCCCTGAATGCTTTTGGTAACCAAACTGGTATCAGAACTGAAGAGGTTTTTTTTATTTTATGGACTAATTGGTTAAGTGTTCCAGGGTGATACTGTTTCCCTTCTGTAGTTAGGTGGATAGACAAGCCAGATTTCAGCTATGGTGTTTTTAATAACAATTGACAAGTTCTTTAAGTTACATTCACAAACTTTTTAAGAAGCAAAATCACAAGTGGTATTTCATCAGTGTGTTCCACTCACCATTAAAGCCCAAATGCCGTTCACTCGCAAGGCAAGATTTTCACTCTGTGTTAAACTACATAGAAGTTCTATGGCTCCTGATTCTAAAATAGGCTAAAATGAAGGAGAGGGGGGGAAAAAACACCAACCAACTTTAAAACACTGATTAGACATATATACATATATATGTAATGCAAAACCTTGTAGTATCACATCTTTAAATGACAGGAAAAATATCAATACATGCAACTTTTTTTTTTCAAACTGATTAACATAGTTAAGTTTAGAACAACTGCTTTCAACCTGAACCAAATTTGAAGTTCTAGTTTTATGTAAGACCTGAAGAGCTCATGTGCTAAAAGGATTCATCCAATGACTTATGCTGCTCTAGTTTGTAAAGTGTTCCTTTCTTCCAGAAGTTACTGCTTCAGAAGCAGTGAATAATTTAATATATCTGAGTTTTTGGGAAGTTGTGTGGTTTTTAACCCACTTAGGAGCTGAATTAATCAGAAAACAGGAATGTGTGGAAAATACTGCACTTCATAGGAACAGGACTGCCTCACTGAATAGCAGAAAGACCATAACAGAACGATGCAGCAGCAGTTCGTGCCAAAGTTCACCTGGTCCCATGCACTTGCACACTGCAATGAGCTGCCAATGATTTCACAATGGGCCCAGTAGCTGGCTGGCTCCTAGGGACTTCTCCACAGCCACAACAGGTGGGAGACATTCCCAAATTGGTTTTGACTCAGCTCTTTCACAGGGTACGATACAGATTGACTTCAGCTTTGTTTATTTACTAGCATGACTGCTAGTTTACATATAATTTTCAAAATATTATGTAGAAAAAAAAAGGATATATCAAATAAAGATCAGATGGCTTATAGATGCTTTCAAATCTAACATTTCTAAATATTCCTTCATTTTGCATGAGCAGCATTTATTTTTGGCAATGATGGGGTTTTTTACATGAACCATGTGTCCTGACAGAAAATGCAGTATTTCAACCCAATCTGAAGTGGAATTACTACCCTGACTGTGACCTGCAGTATGAACAAGAAAGCCCATGGGCCCGTGAACTGTGCTTGGCATTATTTCAGTTAATTTTCTGTCTCAAAGACATGAGGAAAACCACCAAGACCAATTGGTCTAACCAAAGTAATCCAAAGTACTCTGTAGGAGCCCACATACACTGCAATCTTGCAAATGTTTTCTGTAATTAAGAAATTGTTCAGACTTGGGGAATTGTTCCATTGCTATGAAGTACTGATGTGTAGGTATGATTTGTATGAAATACAGACATTGCAGAACTCAAGAACAGATATTCTGTATCATTCATTCAAGAACAATAAAAACCACAAGACTTGGCTATACCAGCATTTTCAAGATTACAGCAGTATTTCTCTAAGACAATGGATCATATTGCTGATTATTAGTTTGCTTTCTTCTTGCTTATGAATTTTTTAGATAAGTGTTTTACAAAAATTTCACGTACTTTTCTTTAGGGACTACATTTAACTATTCAACCATCTTTAACTGTCACAGTACTCTAAACCTTTTTTTTTTTTTTTTTTTAATTCACCAGCTATCTGTGATACAGTCTGCCTGGCATTACAGCTCTATAGCACTTCACAAGCAGGGGCTACCAACTAAGATACATTGTACAATGGTTCAATAAACATAAAGGTAACTTTTGCCTATGACCTCTTCTTGTTTCTGGATAAATACTAACCTCCTTGCTTGGAGAGAATTCCAGAAGAAGATTGCATAGTGTAGAAGATGCTACTACAAGAATTTCATTTGGAGCATTCTGTAAAACCTGCAGTCACAAAGGGGAGAGCGAGGAATCTCCGTTAGTAACTAGTAGGATAAGGAAGGGATCATTTTGAAATGGAATACCTGTAATTATGCTGCACTTTGATATTCCATACTTTAGGAGATGCTTTGATGCAAGCAGTGCAGATCCAGACAACCCTTATTCAACTCAATGGGATGATACACATTACATTACAAGCTGGAGGAATGTGAAGTTATTTCACAGAACCCAGATCTGAGAGGGCTCAGGTCTGAATTAAAAAAATCAGTGGGAACGGATCACCGCTCTGCAAAGCGTACATGTGCTGGCAGTTGTCATTCAGCTCTGCAGCCACCCTCTCAACAGAGAAGAGGCTGTGTCCTGCAGTGCATCCCTGTGCCATGGTTTACAGAAAAGTGGAGGAAGCTCCAGGAGGAGCCTCCTCAACACTTCTGTACCTTGTGCAAAGCACAACACGGCAAATTTCCTTATGACCGTCCTTTCAGAAAAGCGATAGCCTGGAACAAGTTATACTCTCTCTTATTTGTGCCTGGATCTCCAGTGGGATCGATACATGCCGTTCTCAAACAGAGCATCTCTTGCACGTTCTGAGAAAACTCAGTGAGGAGATAGGCATGGAGGATACAACCGCTCCTCCTCCAAAGAAAAGGGGAATGGAAGGATTGTCCTGTATCGCCTTTTCTTTTGGAGCAGTGAGCAAACTGCAAACATTAACAATTACTGCATTTACAGAGGTTTGCACTGAAGTACATATATGTAAGTCCTATAGTTTTAGACATTGTTCTTCCATGGCTTACACAGCTATATGTGCTAGGGGAGAGAAAAAGAATTTACTTAGCTGTTATTAATCTAAAGTGAAAACTGATTTATCTTTATTTAATATTACCTTTATTTTTCTATTAAGAATAATTCTTGACATTCTGGAATGAACATACAAGTTTCTGACTTAAGCTTATTTAATACAAATCAAAATGAACAACTGCCAGCAGCTGTGCATACATAAAAGTCTGACATCTACATTTTTTTTTTCCACATGGCTCTCCTTTTATGCTAGTTGTGCTTCTTCAAGCAATCCTGTCATTTGTGTGTTTTACATTTAACAAAGGCTCAAATATCTTAAAATATTCAAACCATTCCCTCCAAGCCGCTTCAGGTGATGATCATGAGTCCTGAATCATGGGATTATTACACTACAGTGATAGCACAAAACTTGCATGATCAAATCTCCCTTGACCTCTCAATAAGACTAATGAATTGGACATCCATGGATTAGTATTGCAACTCACACACCCAATCCAAGGATGAATGCTTAACTTGTATATAGTAAGTGTATTGTGTATACTGTCAGAAAATAATTTCCCCATCATTTCTACCACAAACTCTGTAAAAAAGTAAACCCATACTTTAGGCCCTCTAATTCATGCAAACAACATAAAAGGCTGAGAAAGTTTCTTGGCCTGCAGCCAACAAGATGGCCAGAGGGTGTAGTATAACTAGTGAAGCAAGTTTTCTTAAGTCCATAACTTGTGAGAATCAGAACATAAGGAAAACAGAAAGAGTCAAGCCTGAAAAAAAAGTCACCGAGTGGTGTCCAACAGGCATCTTTCTTGCACTGAAATATCACTAGAAGTAACTGAAGGACCATCTGATCTTTTACTTCCTTCCAAGCTCTTGAGTGAAGCTTTGGACAGTCAGCTCACATAACTGCTTTGTTATCACGCTCATTAGTTCATTTTTGCCGACAACATTATCTCTGGTCTGGCTATTTTACTTCTGAATAGTGACAAGCTCACTTCAGGTGATTTTCTTGGCGATTCTCACGGATGTCAATACTGCCCAGGCTTTCAGGCTTCTTGCTAACAGACTCTGTCTGTTCCCCAATTTCGAGGTCTAGAAGATCTTGAAACTGAGAAACTGGTCCATTTGTCAGCACTTAATGACAGTCACATTATAGGATGAGAGGTAATATATACCTTACACACTTTGATCTCATTTAATCTTGTGGATAATTGCATTATATTAAAATGTGTATTTTTAAAGGTCTTGCAGAGCTTTTTGGCTTCAGTTTTAGAATTCACAATGAAATCCAGAAGGTAGAGAAATACAAGAGAAAAAGCAGATCTAAATTCTCCTGTAGGGCTTACAGACCAAGTCTGAACTGTGCTATCTAGTCTGAGCCTGAAATTACAGGAGATATAGTCCTCCTAGCGCCCCATGTAAACACCAGGAATAACACACACAGAAAAAACAAAAAACAACCAAAGAAATAATAAAAAAAAACCCAACCAAAAATCAAGCACAGACCACCACAGTCCTCTCTTCTGCTGCTTGGCTTTTTTTGTTTTATGACTCTCATAGGAGAAGGTCATGTCATTTTGATTTCTAGGTAATTTCTATTATGAAAGCCATGAAAATTGAACAGACACCATATCTTCCTTTAATGGAACAGAACACTTCAGTAACTGAGACTTGACTTTTCTTTACTTACCTTCATTAAAGGTTTCCATACAGCATGGTCCTGAAAACTTGTCCTGAGCTGCTGTACAGAACGGGACAAACTGTGCAAACATCTGTAGAGGAAAAGAACTCTTCACTGTGAAACATACACACTCACATGTACACTATTGTAATAGTTACATTGCTTCCACACAAAGATTCAGCTTAGAATTTGGTTAAATAGTGGACTGTAAATAGCAAAAAGAAAATATTGTACTAGTCCAGGATAACTTCCCCTCTCCCAAGAAATTTTCCAACAATAGAAATGACTTCAGACTAGCTCTTCAAAAATTAAAAAATTAAACAAGTGCAGCATCAGACTTTGACAAGACAAAAGTATTTGTATGAATCAGAAAAACCTCCTACCTGACTGCAGCTAATCGCACCTTGATACTAGATTCAGACAAGCCATTAACAATACGGTCCATCATATTTTCAGTCTCAATGATCTGGAACAAAAAGGAATTAATGCTATATGAATAAAATAACATAAGCATTTATGAGTTGTTGTTTGGGTTTTTTTGTCTGCAATTTTTTAAATATTGTATGTAAAAACTGTAGTCAAAACCGGCAAGCCACATTATCTTCCCAGATTAAGTGGAAAGTAGTGTCTATGTGCACACAGTTTAGAAAAATACCTACATTCTATGCTCCACTACTGCTTTCAAAATGATTTTATTAATCATCAAGGAACAAGAGGAGGTTTTTTATATATTTTTATATATATATAAACCTTAATGTCACATGAAAACAAAAGAGAGCATGTGAGAGTGCACACACTATACACACACTACAGATTGTGCAGCTATCTGGAAAAAAATACATAGTAGTTCATCTGTCATATTTAGACATGGCCAGCACAAGCACTTAATACTAGGATAAAAGGGAGTTAATAGCAAGGTGAAAAATGGCTTTTGTATAATAAATCAACTTCCTCATGTACACACCCATCATTTATTAAAAACAATGCTTTGATGTGTAAAAGAAGGATCCTTACTATTAGCTAATTAAGTTCATCTTGCAACAAAAGAGAAGTTTATGGGTTTGAATTCTGAGATCCTGAATGGTTCCCCACTGATAAATCTTCCTGTTAGTTATCTTTTCAACACTGTGTTTTCCTGTCTCCTTCGTGTTCATATCCATCTTCCTTCTGTTTTTCCTCTTTAACCAGAAAATTAACTCAGAAAATTCTCATGCCTCCTGTACTTGCAACATTTGACATAGCAACTCTAAGCTTAATTTTAAAAAATGCTGTTTTTAATCAATTCTTTGTTTAATTTCCCTCCACTTTCCATGTATAAATGTTTAACTTCATAAGTGCTCCAATCATCCAATCTCTTTCCTGTCATGTTTGAATACAGTTTGTTCTCCTTCACACCAGCTGCTTTGTTCTGACACCGCAAGCCCCCTTTGTCATTTCAGAATCATGGAACAAATTTTGACTTTGTTTTCCAATATAATTAGACTTTCCAGGGCTTATTTTTGAAAAAATATTTGTTTTATAATAGAATACATGACAACAGAGGCATATTCTGTCCCTTAGAATATAGGTTTCAGAAATTACTCATATGCCACAGCAATATTCCTGTACAGCTTATGAGTAGCAAGGATGACATGTTGAAATACAACTTATTGTGAGAATCTAGCTCATCACTGTGAAGATGTTTACATAAAAAAACTGTACTCTTACATTTTGTTATAGCAAGATATTAATTTCTGTTCAAAACCCATGCAAAAAAAGTGCAATCTGAAAGTTTATAGTAACGTAACAGAAAGAGAGCCTTCTTGTTTCAATCTATTTACATTACAATGAAAAAAAAATGGCTGTAAGGGTGCAAATTCTTGCACTGCCTTTCAGCCTAACTTTCAGCTACATCCTTGTCTGATTGCTAACATTTTTGTCAGGCTCACCTTTTTTCGGATATCTTCATCATTTGCTCCCAGGGAAGCATAGAGCTTGAAAGCAGCCTGGCGCAGTTCATGGGCGTGCTTCAAATCATGGTCAAGCTATTTAAATAAAGCACAGATAACAAACTTTGGCATTAAAAAATTACATGTGCGATACTCTTACTTGTTCTAAAGTTGTGCTTATCTACTGGGGTTTTGTCTACCACACCAAGGGCATCCAGAAACACAAATTACTCCATTAGCTGATGTCCACGTTTACCAACTGAATACAGTAACTGAAGTTTAGAACACAGTTAATTTCTCTGCTGAGTTGCAGATAAGTCAACTTAAACAATTTGAGGCCAAAACACTTCTATAAAGTTACAACTCTATTCAGACCATATTCAGATAAAAATTATTCTTATTTACCCAACAGAAACCTACAAGAACAAGCAAGGAGAAGTGAAAAAACTGGGAGGGAATCAAGGGAAATTTTATCAAGAGAACTGAAGCAAAAGCAGGAATCAAAGCCTGTCTCTAAATCACAGGACGTCCATCTTCAGGTGGAAGCTAACTTCTGACTTCTGTAAAGATAACCCAGCAGGGTACAAGCTGTCTAGGAGGTTTCTGGAAGGTAACTTCTTAACAGGTGCTAGAGGGGTGAATTAGGGTGATGCACCACTAGATAGGCTGCTCACAAATCAGGAAAAACTGCTCGGGGGCATGATAATTAACTGGCACACTAGCTATAGGGATCATAAAATAATTGTGTTCAAGTTCCTGAGAGGTGTGAGAAAGGCGCAGAGCAGAGTAGAGAGCCTTGACTTCAGGAGAGCAGACCTGGAGGAACAGATGGAGTGTACCCTGGCTTCTTCAGCCAGGAGAAGAGAAGGCTGAGCAGAGACCTAAGAGCAGCCCTCCAATACCTACAAGGAGAAGATGGAGCCAGACTCTTTACGGAGATGCACAGCAAGAGAAGGAGAGACAATAGTCAAATTGAACCAGAAGAGGTTCTTACTGCATATAAAAAATAAAAATTCAGTATTAGAACAGTTAAACTTTGGAACAGATTGCTCAGAGAGGTTATTTAATCTCAATTTTTAGCAGTTTTCAAGATCCTACTGGACAAAGCCTTGAGTAACCTTATCTAAGCTCAGCACTGACTCTGCTTTGAAAAGAAAATAAAGACTTTCAGACCTTCTCTCATTCTTTCCAATGAGAATGATTCTATGAGTCTGACTGCTCTCAAAACTCTGTACCAAAGGGCTCCATAAAACGATGTAATATTTAAAGTCTACACAAAATGCCAGAAAAATGCTAGTATTAAGCAGCAAAGTGCTGAAATAAAAGAACTGACAAAAATTGTGTGAGTCATTCTCTCTGCTGCAGCTATATTAGAGCAGAATGTATTAAATCATTGTTAAAATATTTAAAACAGACAAGTAGTTGTTTGGCAATGTCCTCACTCACGTAGTTTTTACCTTACAGGGTGTAATTCAAAGCAGTCTTTACAAAGTAAGCAACCTGGCTCCACAGCTGCCTGTTTCTACAGTCTTTATGAACACTCAAAGCAGTGTCATAATATTTATAATTGTGCCACTCACATTTGGAACCTAATCATATTTTTGATGCTACAGCCAACGTACATTACTCCCCAATCAGCTGCTAAACTTCCTTCTGCTTATTTAATTTTATAACACAGCTATACTTTTTTATATTTAATTTGCATTTTTACATAGCATTCAAAGCAGCTCTATATGCAGAATCAATCCCATTCTATGAAAGTCTGAGAAGTGAGTCTATCTCTTGGGCTAGTTTAAGAGAAAAACTAAGACTCTATAATCCATTTTTCTGGGCACTTCCTACAAATCAGACTCAGTAAGAGGGGAAGGGAATAGGCAATAGGTATTTCAATATGTGGGATATCAAAAACAATCTTGCTTCTGAGGCTGATTGATCCATTAGTGCTTTGGAAAGTGCATGCAAATCTGTAAAATAAGTTCATGGATGAGAACTCCTAGTACACCTATGAAACTAAGTCTCCAAGGTATATCTGGTCTCTGTTTATCCAAACTCTTGCAAGTACAGATAACTCAATACAAAATGCTACATGACATCCACGTTTTTCTGCTTTAACAGAACAGAACCATCTCTGAACTTAACATCTTCCACAAATCTGACCTAAGCATTTAAATTGATCTCTCATCACATGGACTATTATCTCTCAGGAAGCTGGAATGTACTGGTTCCTGAAGGTAAGTAGAAACATGACAGATGTCTCAGTCTGGTCCTTCATAGCTATCTCTGGAAAACGTAATGAAACTCATTATGGTGAAGTTATATTAAACTACCCATAGCCCATCTCTCTATCTTTGACACAGAAGAATAGCAGCATCCTTCTTACAGAATGGGGAGTCCAGATATACACAACAGTTTTAGTTTGGTTAATACAGGCTCCAGAAAAAGCAGAGAGCGAGCAAAGATTTGGAGCCTATATGCATAGCAAAGACTTGGGGATATATGCATCAAGCATCAACACCACCTGGACCTTCGGTCACCTTTCTATTGAGGAACTCAGACATAAGGTTTAAATAGAATTTAAAAAAAAAATCCTGAGCCCATTTATTACTGGTTTTGCACATTTTTCAAAGCTTCAGAACTGGGTAAGGAAACGTACCCTCTTGATATCAGTGATTGCACTCACGGAGCTGGGATACTTGAAGTAGTCAGCAAGCATGACAATGAGGTGGTCAGTAATGCTGGCAATTCTCTGGAGCTCCACATCTGTTTCAATCAAATAGGCTAGAGTTTCTGCTCCTTCTACTCGCTCCTCCAGCAGTCTTTCCTTACTACACATTCGAACCAAACATGGCAGAGTCTGAAAAATTAAAAAAAATCAAAAAAAACCCCATCCAACAACAAAAAAAACCAAAATCAAACCCACCATCGTTTAGTGCAGCTACATTCATAAAGAAGCTCACAAAAAAAAAGGTCAAACAGCTATCCCAGAGCAATTCTCAGCAATATTCTTTAGATCAGTAGCTTCAGACAAAAAGATTTTAGCAGTTTTAAAGACTACACACAGAGAGAATTTTTTCAGGCATTACTAAGTATACAATAGGCTACTTTCAACCAACTTCTCATGCAGTCAAAATTAGGCTGTGTGAATGCAATGTTTAGAAGTTTGACCATGGTCAAACTTTTGCAAAAGCTAAAAAACCCCCTCAAGAAACAAAAAACAAGACCAATCAAAAAAACAAAACAAAACAAAAAAAACCCTCAGAAGTTCATATTTGTACACGTTTATTCATATTACACACAAGAACCAAAAGTACCCAAGCTGCCCTCAAGAAATACTTAACCCCTCCAGCCCTTTTGCAATCTGGGATTGACTAAGGACAACGGAATAAAAAAAATAATTTCAGGGCCTCCTTGACCCATGCTGGCTGCTAGGAGTAGTAGAGAAGGAAGGACTATTCCTAAGTAGTATATTTGGTCAATCAGAAATTAAGTCCACTTGGAATCCAGTTCCGTTATGCCTTACCACCTTATCGTGGTTATGCTCACATAGCAACATTTTTGCCATACATTCTCTACTTTAAATATTAAAAACAATCAAATTTTACCTGAAGCTCAATGAAATACACTTAACTCTGGAAAGACCAGTTCTCCAATGGTTGGGACTCCGTTCACTCAAGCCTCACCAAACAGAAGTATGAAAATGGATGAGGAATAATATCAAGGTTTTTGCTTGTGTAACTCCACTGACTTCAAGAGAATTATGCTAGTAGAAAATGTTTCAGAGTTATGTTTTTGGAAACTGAAACAGCATTTATCCATTGACTGTTCAAATGATTAAATAGATAAGTATCTCTATTCCACAGGTAAGGAAGCAGAGTTACAGGATTTGCCTACTTTTATTAAAAAAGTAGATGCTACCAGAAGGTTGCTACCACTTAGGTTGTGAATCCTGCACCTAATCCAGAGAGCCAAAGCACCTCCTCTCTGCATATCTGTCACTTAAGACATCAGATAAGACTTTCAGCCTGAACAGTTGAAAAGTAGTTCTAAGAGCAGACACATCTAAGGACCTTCTGCTTCCTTAGGAAGTTCACCCAGAACACTTTGAAAGAGAAGATAGCTGCTGAGGGTTGGTAAATTTAAGCAGCCCTCAGAAATTACATCATTCCAAAAGTGTGATTTCTAGGACCCCTGCAAGTTTGTTCAATGTTTGCTTTAAAAGCCTTCAGGTGTTTAATTACTACTGTACTTTTTCTATCTGTAGAATTCAGAACTGCACCATAATGATTAAATATCACGAGTTTCAATTACCAGCCTGGCATAAGGTATCTTAAAAATTGAGGCTAGCTTAAATAAAACAATGAAAGCTGAATATAAGCTCTCAAAAAATTACTCTGAGGTTGAGTAGGAAAGAAGTGGAATTCCATGTCTAAATCACAAAGATAATGTACTTCCCAGTTGTTTCCAAGGGCAAATGGCCTGAATTGAGCAGACAGTGGGGGATTTCTGAAGGAAAGAAATTTTCAAAAGCATGAGGTTTGCAGGAGCAAGATAGGTTGGGAGCATGGAATGCTAGCATTCAGTTTACAGGTTTTTTAAGGAGAAAGAAGAGATCAGGGAATTTGAATGTCAATTTGGAAAAAAGCTACGTAGAAGAATGAAGGAAAAAGCTGCAGCTTGGCCTCCTCACTTGCTCTAAGACCGGATGCCTGTGCAGAATAGGTGCCACTATCAACACTGGAATGTACTGCATTTTGGACTTTCTTGTGTAAAAAGACAGGAGGGATGGACCTTTGTCTCAACCAGTGTATGGACTTTTCATCTGTCACTACCTGGAATGATGGATACGAAAACCCCACTAACAAAAGCTGTAGATATGCGAGACTCTACTGCCATGGCTATTGAAAGGAATAAATACGTTTTCTTATTGCATTATCTTACACACAATCTACTCTTTCCCCAGCATTACCAAGAATAGGACTAAGGGACAGCTCTTGGCACTCTGGTGATAGCTTTCGTGTTTAAAATGTAAGCTTGCAGGAGCTGTCAGGGGTTTGCACCAGACCACAGTCAGAAGATACTAATCACTAGCCTTTGGTGGTGGGTATTTGTTGCTTTAAGCAGTACACACAGCTATCTGCAGAGCCATGGTCTTCTCAATCTCAGTACAGGGGCACTGTACTACATGAGGGAAAAATTTCCTTAAGTCTGAACAACGTAGGTGTTATTCTCTAGAATGAAGTATGCTAAAAGCACACTAAAAGCTTTGGAGTCTGCCAGACTGCTACAAGTAATGATCAAAGAAAGCAAACATGTTTTCTTATTGCAGAACTACAGTAATACTTCAATATCTCATGGAGAAACAAGCAGTGTTGGTATTACCTGATCTCTGACTGATATGCTTGCTTATCAACAGCTTTTTTTTTTTCCTTTGACTAGCTATAAAGTGTGATCATAAAGATATTACATTCCTATGGTATTTAATGAACTTTCCTCTACTGAATTTCCTTATAAAGTCACATGCAGTATAAAAATCAAATCCAGTATTTCAGCATGACAGTTTCTTTTTTTAATAACAAATTTCCCTAGCCAAACGATGAAGCAGAAAAATGTACAAAAACATTGTGAAACCCATGAAATCATCTGCTGATGACAGACTCCATATACAGATTGTGCAATTATTCTGACTATAGCCCTGTGAAATAAGTTATTGAAAGAAAACTAGTGCCTTGATCATATACAGAGACTGAGGCAGTAATGCTGTTTCCATGTTGCTTACAAATGGTTACTGAAATGATAACAAACCTCAAATGGATGTGTGTCACACTTTGGTACATTTATTCCTGGATACTGACCTTTTAGTATGATTCTTTATTTAAAACTTCTTAAAAAAGCCATGTGACTATAAATGCTTAAAAACACAAAGGGAAACTAGGGAACTAAGTTTTTAAATTAAAAAAAAAAAAAAAAAAAACAAAACAAAAAAAAAAAAAACCCAAAAAACCCAAACCAAAACAGGAGAACTTGGTGCTTTGAAATCTTCAGTGTAACAAATTTTGTGCTACTTTTTATAAGAGACAAATAAAAACGCGATAGCCCTAGGTGAGAAAAACATTTTACAAAGAAAACTGTTTTACCAGCTCACCTTAAGAACGATACAAGAATCGTCTGTCCGTATTGCTCCAGCTCTGCACATGGAAGTAAGGCTGTAACAACATAATGAAACACACATTCACCTATCATTGGTTTTGATTCACTTAAGACATTGCAGAACAATCAACTTTACTAATGAAACATACTCCCCTTTGTTCTACATTTGTGCTTACTAGAATTGGGCACGTGAACAAACTACTACAGGCATACTTTTAAGCAGATTTCTAGTACAGGACATCTTGCTACAGCACTGATCAATACATTCACCACACACTAGTCAAAAAAGGTCTAACCATCAAACTCCATTGATTCACAAACCTCTTTTACCAGGAAAAAAAACCCAAAATGAACAACTTAATATATTAAGATAAAGGAGCAATGTACATAGACCTGGTCTTTGCTGCACACAGCATGAGCAAGCACTTAAAGCAATCAGGAGAGAATCAGGACAGGGTTGGTAGTCTGACAGCTTAGTCAGAAACCATTCAAGCTTTGCATTAGCCTGGGAGACACGATATCATTGTGCTGCTTGTCCACAGGCACGTCTTAACACTCTGCTGGAATAAGCACATCCTCGGTAATGATGAATCCAAGTCAGTCTCTGACACTGAATCAAACCAATATTTGTTCTTTATTAAACAACTTAGTGGATATGACAACTCCAACACATTGACACACAACATCAGACAAATGCGTAAGCTGCTTTGTCAATTTACCTGTACACATGCTCCAAGCTATCAGAAATATGAAGTAGTTCAGCCACCAATGAAACTGCTTTACATTTAAGTAATTTATAGTTTTTACTTGCTCTGCTACAAGGAAGTAGAATGAAGCCGGAGGATAACTGCTCTGCATTCAGTGCAGGAACAGTCAAATATCTTTTGTTTTACCTTTTGAATTAAGCCATTGTAACTGGCTTTTGTCATGCCAGAGTTGAGGTTAAATAAATAACTGAATTTCAGTAAAGGTGACAAAACTAACATGTTTCAACTCTCAACTGGGCAGATTAAAAGTGTACACAGGGTCAATTATAATTGCTCAGCTAAGGATCATCAATATGCTAACATACTGTAACCATTTTGTGTTTCACTGCATTCTTGAGCTCCTTCCAAGTGCCTAAAGAGAGTTCTTTCACCCCTTAGAAGGTAACATCAATGATTCTATTCCAGACATCTACTAGTGACAGACAGAGATAAAATCCCACAATCAGAAGTCTTTTTATATATTATTTCTCAGAAGACAAAAGATAAGACTTGACTGTTAGCATAGACATAATTTCATACACTTTCATTGTCCTTACAGCTGACAGCAGGAAATACTCATTTTCACACCTGAACAATCAGGAGGAAAGCACCCATCTTGCAGTTGCCATTTAGTCCAGCTAGATCCTATCTGTCAGAAAAGTAGCTCTATTTCAAACATGAAATAAGTTAAGAGTATTTTTACTTCAGGTAAAATAGGCTTGGCTTAGCTGGAGGCAATTCCAGTAATTTTAATAAAAAGTGTTACTGCTCCACTTGTGGCTGCAAAGCTCTCTCCCAAGAGGCTTCCTGCTCTTCCCTCGGTGCCAACACTGATGCTCAAGCGAAGGATCTTTACTCCATTTCAATCAAGAGGTATTAACTTGGGTCTTCCAGGTCTACTTCATTTGTTAAAAAACAAAGGTAATTTTTTAAGATAGCCTTGTATGCCAGTCTGGATTCCAAAAGAAATTTAACAAAAGGCTTCACAAATGCATAAAAACTCCTTCTACATCCACATTCCAAGGACTCTACTAATAAATCAGAGAGGAACTGCAGATTAATTGACCAAAGTTGGCAAGGCAGGAGTGAAGTCTAATTTAGAAGCAGAATAAAAGAGGACCTGTGACAATTTAACCTACTACTCTCATTGGGGGTGGGGGAAGAGCAGGGGAGGGGAAGAGAGTGGGTCTTTGTAAGCCCCTTGGACTATCATGAAACTGAGGCCTTGAGTGCCCTACTAAGAATATTCTAATTTGAAGCAGATAAGGAACACCAATAGACCTGCAAGCATTCATCCCACAAGGAGACAGTGCAGAGCCAGAACAATTCTTTTACCTCCAACCTGCCTTCATGACTTATCAACTGCCTTGTATCTTGAGATCAATAATAAAAAATAAATTCTAACAATTATCTATGTGTTCTCTGAATTCTCAAAGAAACACATAAATCAATCAGAACTGAGACTGCTACAATGCATTTAATTGAACTTGGCTTCTTTGATGAGAGCTACCTAACAAAACCAGACTGCACAGACCAACTGTGGTTGGAAGGGAGCATGGGAGGTCCCCAGATGGACCTCCCACATGGAGTGGGATTACCTAAGACAACCCATACACACATCCATGTCTTTATAACTGCTTTCATGAATGGGTTAAGTCATTATAAGCTGGCACCATCACAAAAGAAGCCATCCTACCTACCCCACTTGTTCCTCGCCCACCATCTCAAGACCTGGCACTGAGACAAGTGAAATTGTTTGGTGAAGTGAATCAGAAAACTCACTGATCCAGGTCAAAAATAAGCCATCAAAATCTAAAAGAATAATCAAATACATCAGTGACCAAACTCCGAGTTTAGTTTAATTTTAGCAGTTTATAGTGATGGGTAATTTACCTCTTTAACCCCCTGAAGTAATTTATTCCATTATTATCAACACAACAAAAGGAAAAGGGTCTTAAAGGGAGCCAACTGCCAGCTTATGAAATAAGTATAACCCTAGTGTTGCTGTCATGGAACTCAGTCACATTTTGTCAGAGGGTAGAAAGTCATTATGAATATGAACACACAGAAATGTACCCACACCAGAAGATAAAGTTTGATTTTAACTATAAAATTAATTAATAACATTAATTCTGCTGTATGAGCACATGAACTTAAAGAATAATCTATTTTAACTGAACAGTTGGGAAGAGAGACTAGCTCTGCTCTCTGATCATCTTAGTGCATACAGTTCTCAACTCACAGTCCCAGTCACCTGAGCGAGTCCTCTGACCAGTGGTGCAACTTGTACTACATGATGATATTCCAGTATTACACTCTGTAAGGACATATGATTGACCATAGCTTATTCAAAGTAAGACTGATCATAAAATCCAAGCTACTGGTGAAAACTGCAGTTCAACTTATGTATATCCATATGCAGACATACACATTCCTGACAAAAGTGCTGCCCAGCAATACTTATTCCTGTTTATGTACAGTAAGGAGCGAAAGTTATGCTATAAAGATTACTAGGTGAGAACCACCTCCTCAAGGATTTAGATAACGCAAATAATATCTATAATTATTCCTCAGACTTTTGATCACATATTACTTTGCAACAAGTAAAATGGGAACAGTTAAGAAGTAAGTATGGAATTGCATACTATTTCATTCTAACTCCTGATGAGAATTACCATTTGGCTGATGTGAGCTGCATCTCAATAGGCTTGTCCCTTTGTAACATCTTCACAAAAATCTGTGGTAACAATTCTCCATCAACCGACACTGCAAGCAACAAAAGAGAACTCCAAGTAATTTTAATTCAGCCAGTCAATAAAACAAGTGTCAAATAAGCAACAGCAGCTTTATACTTACCATTGACAAGGGTCATTGATACCTGTGGGTTTTCAAAGGCTAGAACTGAGAAGCATTTCAATGCTTGCATTCGAACCTGTGTAAAAACATCATATATATGAAGTATAAATGTAAACGCTAACTTAACTGCAAAATTGATCTATACTGCTGTACAGGCTTGTAGAAAATAATTCTGTATAATCAATAAGAAATGTAGATGATGAATGAATCACATATTGACTTCTGTGACCTCCCTGTTAGAATTATCATGTCATTATAATGATGTGAACTATTTGTGAAAAAGACAAGCAAAGATAAAAATCAGGAATTAGACAGTCAGAAATACCATTCTTATTTATGATGCCTCACAAATGTGCAAACAACAACAAAAGAATGGAAGTATCACAACAATAGTACTTTTTCTTTCCAGTAATCATACAAGTACATAAAAGAATGAGAAATGCATTTTGTTGAGATTTATATTTCAGAAGCCTTTATAGGTGAGTTTAATAAAATGTTTAAAGAGAACTATCCAGTTGAAGTGATTCTAAACTCATCTTAAAATAAAGATATACTGTAAGTTTTACTGCCATTATACAGCCTCGGGTGTCACCTGTACAAGAAGGATTCACAAAGTTCCTCAAGGCTGGATTTTCCTCCTTCATCCAAAACCATGCCATGGTTTAATAAAACAGTATTTCACAGTTGCCTAGTCATGCTAGGCTATGAAGTCTTTATAATCTCTTTTTTGACACAGGGAAGACCAACCATTATCATCTTCCCAGGTGAAGAATCTGATTTAGTTCAGATATCAAAACAGTTGCACATATTTAAACTATATCAATGTCTTCCCATGTTTCTGTTACCACATTCTTAGTGTGAAAACAAAGCAAAAAGAACAAAATTTTGACCTAAAGAATCCCATCACTGCAGAAAGCACTTCCTGCAAGTTAGATTTAGGCCCATCCCACCCTCCTCAACAAAAAGCCTTAGAAACATGGAAGTCCAAGGGTAGACAATAGCAGCAAAGACAAACACACTTCTGTGCATTACTTCTATAATATCTAATCACAGTCACGGTAAGATCTCTTCTCATCAGTAGTAGAGAAGCCTTAGTCAGGAAGAACAGGCAGCAGGCTACCTGGCTTCACAACAAAAGCCTTACTTGACAACACTTCCATTTACTTTTCAGACAATCTAATGAACCTGGAGTATGCTTCAAAGCAGCAGGAAGCAGAGATTGTGTATTGAAAAAGCACTGAAAAATGTCAAATGCACAGCCCAATAGCTGTATTCCTGCCAGAGGAAGTCAGGGGTGGGGTAAAGGTTTTAATGAGAACAACTGAAGTCTAGCTGGAAGTTAACTATTTTATGTAATAGTGCTCTATTAATTAAAGTTATTAAAATTACAATGACTACTTTCTTTGCTAGTAATGTCTACTTAAGGGCAATCAGTTCAGTAATTACATGAGAAACAGGGAACACAAGCATTTGGAAAAAGATGTAAATATGGTCTCAAAACCATTATCTGTAATGCCACTGTAAAAGCTGTAGGCCCTTTGTGTTAGACATCTCACCAGCAGTGAAGAGGCACACTTGTACTGATATAACACATGGAAAAGATAATTGTAGTTATCTGGCTATGGGACAATCCCAAAACCAAAGGAGAAGAGTTAATTGAAAAAATAGACAATTCTCTTGGAAGACCTAAACAAACTCTTCTCATGGGTACTGAAATCCCACTTTGAGGGTTTCTAGTGTTTATTGATCCAAATCATCTGAGATACCTTGCTGGCCTTTACTGTAAGTATTGAAAATCAGGCAAAGTTTTTAAATACTGTCTTTTCCTGTTAAGTTCTTATTTGGCTGAATATTAAGAAACTGGATAGAGAAGCATGAGAATGAGACAATTTGTATTCTACAAAAATGTATCAGTTACATTAGAAGTCTGAGAATGTCTAATTACTGCAGAACAGTAAGAAAGCAGCTAAGACCACAATGAAGCTGTTAATCCCAGGAGTATTAACAGAGGAAAGTGTATGAAGAGCAGTTCAGTCTGTACACCTGGAATCTAAAGGCCTGACCAAACTAGCAAAGGGGGAAACAGAGAATACTTTCTACATCTCTCCAGTAAGGTAGGACTAAATATACATATATTTTTAATGCAACGCTACATGTATCTTGTTGGTGAAAAAGCAACTTGAAAACTTTACCTTGCTCCCATTTCTTTAAAGCAGCTTTTTGAAAAAAATTAGGAAAGATTCAAAGCCATTAGAAAAGGTTCCAAGCCAAACACAGCTTGGAAAATTCACCTTACAATTCAGGGCAAAAAAAAAGTCAGCTAATGGGAGAAAGAGCAAAATGTTGCCCGACCACAGTGAAAACTAATTAGTACAGAACAACAGAAAGCAGAAGTTTATCAGTCTCACTAACAAAATATTGAAAACCACATACTTCCTACTGGATTTATTAAAAAAAAATCCCAAAAACCCAAAACCAAACAAAAAGCACCACACGAGATTAACAAGCCCCTGGAACAGAGCAGCAAATTTCCCTTCACGTTTAATTCTTATTTAAATACTGGTTGTTCTGCTGAAAGATACTTTATCAAGAATGTTCTGCATTAGGCAGATCAAAATGGACAAGCACAATTATCTAATTCTATCTCAATCAACCAGCTAAAAGCCTACTTTCTCAAGTAAAAAAAAAAGGCATGAAAACTTACTAGGTATTTTCCATTAGATATTATAATAAAAATAAGATAAATTTTGATACTTTGAAGTGTTTCTTATTTTCAGAATGATTATATTCATACTTTGGGGGGTGGAGAGGAGGGATAAACTGATATCTTCCTAAGGAAGTCCATGAAACTTCAACTGCTTAGAGATCATAGGATTGGCTTCAGACAAATTTCAAAATTATTTGCATAGCAGACATCTGTTAGCCCTTAAAAAACCAAATGACACAGAAGAGCCTCAGAAAGTATTTTATACACTCAAACATTTTATTAAGTAATCTGCAGCAGACTCTTAAGGCTGTGCTCAAGATTTGAAATTTTGTCCTTAAACTGAAAAGAGTTAGTTGACCCTCCTTGCCACCCAGTTACAGGTAGTGTGTGATTCTTTTCCCCAGAGGTGGTACTTTCAGATAGTCCAGGACGGACTTTCAAAATATAACAGAGAATGGAGCTGAGACTCAGAAAATTCAGTGAGCACAAAACACTGGTAGCTGGTGGCCCCCAAGCATTCCATGTCCATGTTTTCACAAGTATGACATCTATTTAGGACACCTCACATTTGCTTCTCCTCAGCTTAATTTCTTTTTCTTATTTATTGTTCAACAAATTAGACCATTTTTATGGGGTTGCCAAGTGACCGTTCTTTGGATCAACAACAGCCAGTTCTGTTTTATGGTGTTTTAACTTTATAGAGCACTCCAAAACAACAGGTCTCGTTTTGATAGAAATCCATATGATGAGTAAAAACAACCGTTATTCTAGAAATATACATTATATCTGCTTGCATAGATACAGTTTGGATTCCTTTCATAAATATAAGTAAAACATGGAAAAATTTTAAAATCTTACTTTGTAGGAGGTGGAGACTAACAGATGTGCAATATTCTGAACAGCTCCATGGTTAAATAAGATTGTCTGGTGATCTGGACCCTTCAAAGGAAAACATATAACAGAATTTATTTTTTTTAAAAGACCATGTAAGAGGTTTCCACTATCTGCAACTTATTGTTAAGTATTAAAGGTAGAGGTACTAACAATTACTTTTTAATCAGCTGGCATACTAACTTTTTTTTTTTTAAATAAACAAGTACAACTCTTATTTTTATAGCATTTGTCCTTTTCCAGTAATCATTTCTACTCTTTTCTTCAATGGGCAATGAAATTAGTTTTCATAAATGAAGAAACACAGATAGAGTACTTATGTTTCTATTCTTTATATTGGAAACAATCAAAAACTCCTGATTTTCTCTACAAATCATGTAAAAGATCCTCAGTTACTAATGTCTTCTTCACTGGTAATATTAAGCATTTTCAACAATTCTAACTTGAGAAGGGAGGGGATTAATTCTGAAACTCTTTCCAGACAGAATGTGACAGTGCTTTTAGAACAGATTCACATTTTCCTCCTACGGATTACTTTAGTTTCAAACATAAATAGCCACAAATTTAGTCAGCCATCACTCATTTACTGGTGTCAAGATCTAAGTCAGCAATGGCTGATATGTCAGTATCTTTCTGAGATTTAAAAAGCGTTTGGAATTAAACACAAGTATGAAATTTGCAGTAGAAAGGTCTCAGAACTTCTATAGCATGACAGGGCCCAATGACATTGGAAAAACCAACACGAAATCTCAAGGGGGCTGGCAGCCCTCAATAGTCTCTTGTGAAACTGATCTGTGACTTACAAACATTTCTTTAGAAGTAGATTCATGACACTAGTCATCTTTGCATTAAGCATGGGCTATGAGCAATTTAAATTCAGCTTTCAGAATGTCACAGCATTAATTATACCTTGATGCATTTTTTTGACTAATCTGCAAGTGAAGAAAGCATCTTCACTCAATCTTCTGTTCAAAGCCAGCTGAGTTTATCAGCACATCTATACACCTAGTATGCATGAGTGACACTATTTCCACATTTGAGATACAGCTGAAATCAGATTCTTCTTCTATTCAAAAGAACATCTTTAGAACATCCCTTACCTCTAAGAAAAAAGCATAAAATTATTTTTAGATGTAACATATCTGGTGCTTTAAGAGATGCTTCAGCTGCTACTGCCACCAAGAGCTTTCTACCAAAAAAATGCAAATACAACAGCATGGTTGAAGTAGGAAAACAACTTACATTGGCACACAGAAGTGGCTGAGGCAATGATTTAAAGCCGCAGCTATGCCAGTGTTGAAGCTGAAGAACAGATATTAAAATATGTGAAAAAAATGAACGAAATTAAAGTAAAAGAAATCATATTGACCTAGATAGTTTTAGTAATTCACAAGTATTAGTGATTTTTCAATGAGATGCAGATGGTAAATTCTGTGCAAACAGGACAAATGCATGTACAAAGGTGGCATTTGGGTGTATTCTTAATTGCATAACTAGATGTACATGAAAATATCTAATCTGTACACATTGTGTTTGCACACACCAACCCAGCTTGTTTAATGCACAATCAGGTTAAGCACTAACCCATAAATAGGGACAGCTTCAAATATAAACGTGAAAACTTGAGAATATAATGTGTCACTTCCAAGCAGCTCAGGCACCAATTTAATAGCAAGGCTGCCCGCTTTTGTTTCTCTTTGGGTACACCAACAGAGTTCCAGGAGCGAGGCCAATACAGTGATTGTCTTCTCCAAATATGATTGAATAAGATAATAATTCAGGAATAGAAATCACAATTCTTGCACGATTTTCCCCATCATAAAATGCCAATTTTTAAGAAAGCAGTAGGATAGAACAATGTAACAACTCATTTCATAATGGAATTTTAAAAGTAGATATCTAAATGCAAATGTCCCTTGGTTCAGGAACCCAGCACCAGGCTTAAGATCATGTAACAAAACATTCTCAGAACATGTTTGGGACGAAGCTGCCTTGATTACAGGCTTTATTCTGGATCTTTCCCAGACGCAAGATTTTGATTTTCAACTGCTGGTGAAATTATTACTTATGCAGAGATGTCACCACATTCAAATATAAGTTCCAGAACTGTCTTTTCAATTTATTCATACAACCCTGTGTTTCCAACTGCATACCTTATCTTTTTAATTTAAAATAGTAAAGCTTACCTACTCACATCACTTTCTCTGGAAACAAATCAACTGCGATAGAGAGAATCTTAAAAAGGAAATTCTGACTTGCATTTTAGTATACCATGTACATCAACCTGATTTCAGTTTATTTATTTGCTTGTATGTTGACAGAATGCTAGCTCTGTATGTTAAGAACTGCATCTGCTTTCTCTGTACATGAACACTTTCCCTTGCTTAGGATGGCTCTTCTCCAGCGTCAATGTTTTCCATCAGGTATTTTAACTCTAAAAATGCAGTGAGAAGTAGTAAAAGCAGAAAACAGCAGCAATATACTAGGAACCTGAATTAAGGATTTCCCAGCTCGAGAGAACAGGTCTGAGCTTTTCCAGGGAAATGCGAGCAGGTGAGAAAGAAACCTGAGAAGTCCAAGTAAACAAGACTCTGGCAAGGAAGAGAAAAAATGGATGCACAAGATCTAAGCAGAGAACAGTATGCAGGAACAAGGAGGGTAGGAGCTATGATATGTCACTTAGTTTAATGAATAAATATCCTAAAATGAGGAAAAAGAAAAATAAAAGCATCAAAATCTCTTAAAATATATGGTAAGCCTTACCTAAATACAAAAGCTTATAGTAACTTATTTCTTCAGGAAAAAATGAGAAAGGTTCTCTCACTCATGGCCTTTTGGGGAGGAAGATGGGAGTCTTCATCAAAAATGTAGTGACTACTGAAACTCGAAGTTTGTTTTGTTTTTTTTTTTAATGTTAAGAACGTACTTTGCCTATCCCCTGCAAATTCTGCTTCACTGTATTAGATATATTTTGTTATGTCTGCAAATACAGTAATTGACCTTGATAATCAGACCTGAAATCCAAGAACTAAACAAAAAAAGAAAGGGGCTTAGATTTTTGCTGAACAGCTGTATTTGCCTGGGCAAGAGAAAAAGGAGTTCTTGATCAATTTAACATTTGTGATTATCTGTTTACTCAACCTCAAATATTTTTCTTTGTTATGCAGCTAATGTCTATTCTGTAAATGCAACTATTTCCTAATACTCATACCCATCACCCTGCTTTTCTTGTGCATTCATGTTTCTATCTGTTCACACAACCAATTTTTTCTTTCCAAACATTTGGATTTTTTGAAACATTCACTGTAAAATTGGTTCGAGAGAGATTTGAGGGGTGGAGGAGGCATTAAAAACACTATAGTGAGCTCATAAGACTTCCTTTACTCTATGCTGGTTCAGTGACTGGGCATTTGCTTTGTTAAGAATATATTTGCTATGTAAGTCACCAGGAGTTACTGGAGCTACAAGGAAGTAACTCAGTTGGAAAAAGATGACACTAACTGTTTTTATGTTGGATTAATTACCTGAAGGTCCTCAGCAGTTCTCACACAGCCAACAGGGTTTATACTGCTAAAGAGCTAATCCCTGATGGTATAAACTGACTTCTACATCACCCTATAAACAGCTCTGTGTTATTTCTCTTGTAAGCCAACATGGCCCCATTTTTCACCTGTTCAAGCTACTCAGCCTATTAAGGAGACTTTCAAGGGCCACTTAAACATGAGATGCCTCATTGGTGCATTTTTCTTCTTAAAATGCCAAATTCTTTTTCTAATATTAGCTATAGATCTGAACTTCCACGGTTCAGTGTAGAGTTCTGTCTTAATGTTTTCTTTAAACAATCCTATAAATATTAGCAGCTGAGTTATATCACACTAACTCTACAGTTTTCAGTTCTCAGTTTCATCTAGCAGAAGAAATGTAATTGGAAGAATGTACATAAATAATAGTTAAGGTAGAGAAAAAAACATTTTTAATAAAGGAATAATTCAGAGTTCCAGAAGACTCATTTTAAGTGATACGGCAGAAAGATACTTTTTGAGGTAAATACTTAAAAATTCATAAATTTGGGAACTTTATAATTAGTTAGTCTGGGAGATAAATAAGATCTATGATCTTTTAGTTTTAAGCTGTTTCTAAAAGGGAAAGATACTGTACAAATCTGATTTCCTACACTGAATTATTTTGATACAGTTACCCATGGCTACAGTAACCAAAAAACCACAATAATAACACAAAAAAACAATGGTGTGTGGAAACTTGGAGGCAGGGAGGGAAAGACAAACCTCTGTGTTTGGGGTGGGGTTGCTGCTGGTTTTAAATTAGTTTTCCCATATCAAGAGAATTGCATTATATAGCA